GTTCAGTTCAAGTTTTTAAACGTATCTTAAAGAATAAGCTTTTAGACAATTTTGTAAATACTCCCTAAACTTCATTTATTTTTAGTATTTTTCGCGACTGCAAAGTTTAGATAATGTTGTAAATGTTTTTTAAATTTGATTAATTTTGATTGTGTAGTTATTAGTAACTTAGTAATTTAAGTAATTGTTCCTGAAAAGCCCAATTGGGGAGGTAACAATAAAGTATGTATGTAAGAAATGAGGCTGTTATGATGCGTAAATGTGAAGATTTAATTATTTTAATTAAACTCTAGATAATTCTACACAATGTATCTTGTTTTACATTAGGAGATACAGCACATCAATGTCTAAAATATTTTACATCGACTTTACTTGTAGCTATAATTACAAGCCTAAAGAACATTTTTTAACTTTAACGATCTTATAAATGGGAATATTTTACTGCTGAAAAAATTTGAAAGGTATATTCACACCTGCCTCGATCAAAACCTTGAGAAACAAATCATGTGAGTCATTCAAAAGTCAGTTAAGTATGCCTGGTCTGTAATTTGTAAGTTGACCATTCTAAATAATTTAACCTTGCATGTGGTAAAAAAAAAAAACAGCAAAACAAAAATAAAAGAGTCGGGAGCCGATAGCTACCATCATTGTGCCTACATACTCAAATCTGGCAAAAAGGGTAAGAATTTTTTTTTTCACTAGATAATGGCCTTGACAAGGCAACGTAGTTCATTTGCATTTCTATCAGTAGACCAAAAACAGTATATAAATGAAAGGCCTTTTTGGCCTGCCTTGTGTCACTTGTTTTTGAACACTGAAAAATCCACTGCTAAACCAGACAAGTGTAAAATGCAAGCGTAACATTAGATTAGAAAGTAAACAGGAGTGGTTTTGTTAGGAATACAATTCTATACGACTTGATCTGGCCCGATCTGACCCTTATTGATCTTGCCTGATGCCCTGATTTGACCCATGTTGATATATATTTAGCTCTTATTAACCGAGCAGGTGGTCTGTTTGGGAGAATCTTAAGGTCAACCGAGGTCAAGATTCTCCCATACCGACCAAGTGAGCTTGGTTAATAGGATGCTTATTATATGGCAAACAAGAAAAACTCAATTCGTTTAATGTAACTGCTTTGTACTAGCTGCCATTTTGCTTGCGAACGGCAATGAACGGAATTTAAGTTTGCCAAACTTTGCTCTTCTTCTTAACGTTTTTTTCTCATCAGGCTTTTTGACACTTTCATTAATAAATATTTTTAGAAGAAATCGTCAATATTTTTGAGTTTCAGTTTGCAACTTTTCCAAAGCAAAATGTAACCCGTCTAGATGCCGGTCTAGATGGGAAAATCTAGACCGCGGTCAAAATCGATTTCAGCCAATCAAATTCATGAATTCGGTAGTTCCCAGTCCTTGTGAGACACAGCCATATAACAAGAAGATCTGTTAGATCTTATAACCGCGCTTTTAAAATTTAACTGTTTTCTTAGCACTACAGTCGCAACGCAGTGTACATTCCAAAGCAATCCTTGATGATTCATTGATTACTGTAGACACCACACTACTTGATCAACACAAACTGTATTATTGCACCATCAGTCGTATTTTTTCCACAAAAAAGAAAACAATATCCGTAAAATTGTCCGTGTATTTATGTTTTAACAGCTTCTGCCGCAAAAACATCACACGTTGCGTGACTCAAAATTTGGCCGAGCGGAGGTCTGCGTCTGGTCACCGACAAAAAAAAAATAAATAAATAAACCCCGGGTAAACCTAGAACCGCGCTCGGCCCATGGCCGCGCGATTAATAAAGTGGGATATTGATCATAACATACATGATATTAGCAATTAATTTCTGCGATTTATACCTGTTTGTTTATTCGCAGAAATTACGTATTAGTTGTTAGTTTTTAATCCGGTCATTGTGATCTTTAGATCTCTCTGCCTGACTAAAACCCTTCAATTCGACGTTTTAGCCTGTCATTTGTTACCAAAATTGATTAAATCATGAGCGAGTTGTGTGAACCGTGGGCTCAGACACAAAATAAAATGCTAAAAACAGCTTGTCACAACTCACTGCGTCTCCAAGGTTTACATGCCAATCTCCATTGAAAAAAGGAATGAATAGAGTGTCTTAAATCTGTGCAGTGTATTTGCCAAAATCAATAGCACAAACTGCTCTCTATTCAAAGTTTTATGCCTGTCTTTCATAAACAAAATTGATTAACCCACGAGTTTCCAGGGCCGCCCTTCACAGGAACGCAAAGAATGGTAACACAGGAATCTTACAGTAGGAACACAAAGAATTCTTACACAGGAATGCAGCGAAAGGCCCACATATACCTACATATACACAAGGCAAAAACGGTGACATGACCTTGTTAGTTTTACAAACGATTCTGGGCAAATTTCCTTTCCACAAAGTACCTGCAAAAACTGTTATTGAATTTAAACTTATTGCCACAGGATATTTAACCCTGCTTTAAGTTATATGTTTGCGTTAGCCCACATGAGGTTACCCGACCATTGAACGTTTGCAATAGGCAAGAAACCTAGAGAAGGGGAAACCATTTTTGTAGTTGTATTGTGAATTTTAATTTAGTGATAAAATTTTTATTTTATCCATAGGTTGATCTTCAGTTTCTAGTACTTGGTGATGGATCAATGCGTGCAGTAGCAAGACAACAGGCAAAGAATATTGAGGATCTCTATAAAAGCCAAATGGCTTAGTGCAGCCAATGGCATACAATATTTGATATTTTCTAACCCATTCAACAAAATATGTTCGTGGTTTTTCTTTGGAGTCTAATCACATACTCTTAACTCATAATCAAAAATGCTGCCTACATTCTTCTAGGCCTTGTGTCATAATTATTTGACTGGATGCTTAAAAGAATATCGATTCTTCTTCCCCTCAGAGGAATAGTCATGTCATGTCATTAGCATAAAGGAAAACATCATCATCTCACATGGCAATTGATTGACATTGTCAGGGGAACAGGGTGTCACACCAGAAAAGTCACTCAATAAGTTACACCAAATGAAATTTTTTCAAAAACCTACTAACGAGAAAATTTAATCCAAAAAGACCTAAATTTACATTGCAGGATATGTGCTGCAGTCTAACCCTAACCCTAATTTACTCAAAGGGCTGATTTTATCCCACAGCGTTGACAGGACGTTTGCTGCGGTCCTAGTGACCAGCATCCGACCAACCAAAAACTATTTAAAATCAAGTAGCAGTTCTGCCATGTTCTCATCATCGGGCATGTAACGAACTTACCCCATGTACTCTCTCACACAGCTATACATAGTATACAAGTCAAGAAAGCCGCTTGTGTGTTATTCGATACAAAAGTTGAGTCTTAACTAAATGGTTGTGCCTTGGTTACCGCCCGACACGTTCATTACTTAGGTTGGTTGGTTTTCTCTTATCCCACAGCCCTAATATGAAAAATTCGTAATAAACAGGCACTCGACCACAACCAAAATGCGTGAGATTCTGTCATGTGTCATATTTTACCAGAGTGTCATGCAAAATGAAACCCCCATGCAAAATGCTCTCTTATAGGGTTGGTGCACAAGGTTGTGTGTAGGGGAGGGCAAAATAATCATGTTATCCAAGACAAAAGAGTCAAATACCAAAGTTATATTTTTTGATGAGACAATTTTTACATAACATTTCTTACCTACTTAACAGTCTCGTTGTTGATTCAGGGCATACCTTTGAAGACTTCTTTTTGTTTTCATCATCGGAGTCATCAACTTTTGGGATATTTCTTGGAAGTCTGTTCTAAGTATATGTAGTGTATACCTAACCGAAAATAAAGGTTGGAAGTCTTTGATCTATCTTTCCACCACTGCCTTCACTCATAAAATGGTGAAGAGTGTTGTATTGTGTCACACCTCATACAATCAGTCCCCTTTAGATGCTGCAAATGGATCCTTCACAGTTTCTTCTACTTAGTAATAGGAGTTTGAAAGTGGTAATCTAGGCATAGCCATTGTACTTTCTCACATTGTTGTTTAATGTCTTCCACTTTCTCGCTCAGCATCCTCTCACTGATGGTTGTCTCCTATAGCACCTCACCTTCCTCTTGAGAGTTATTTCTGTTCTCTTCCTCTTACTACACTTCTTCCTTCTCCTTCTGCTGCCCTGAACATTTTCTTTGTCACTTCTATATTCTTCCTCAAATTGAAAATATCCGGTGTACAGTCACCCATGGTTTATGAGGGTATTCTCCCTGTCTCTCGTTCCCTCTTTCCCTACAGCCTTTTACTACTGCATTGTGTTTTAAATGAGATGGATCGATTTTTAATACTGTATACAATTTTGCCAGCTTTGCGGTATCTTTTGTGCATCAAGAGGTGACTAAACACCCATGTCCCGTTCTTGCTGGCTGGGTGTAGGTCTAGGACTGTGTACCGGAATAGTTTTTCCATCGTGAAACATTGTGGGAAAGCCTTGGCTGTGTCAGGCCTTATTGATTGCACGGATTCTTGATTGCCATGATGTAATGAACGTTACGGGAGATGACATATTTGCCCATTGGAAAAATGTCGTGGCACAAGTACAACACAATGATATTTTGATGCTGAGAATGTTTGATGAATAAATCCCGTAACTCTATCTTCACCTCCCTCTGCCATTACATCGTCTAACACCAGTAGTCCCCTTTTATGGAACCACTTTAGCATTTGGGTGGTCTCAGGGATCCCCTTGTGAAATTGAGTGCCTTCATCTTGCGTGTTCTGGTACCTTTTTTGCCACGTTCCATGGCAGTAATTAACTGCGTTAGGGGGATTGATAAACAATTCTTGTAAGTGATTCAAGAGTAACAACTTTGTAAAGAAATTGTGCCACAACCAGAGGGACCCATGAACAAAACACAAGAGGCTGTCTTGAACTGAAATGCCTCTCTTATTTCAATTCTTTTTGGGATCCCTTCATTGTCTTGCTTGTCCTGGTACCCATTTGGCCGTGCTTCATAGCAGTAATGAATCACAGGAGGAGACGGTTTGCAAACAATTCTCGGCTCGACTCAGTGAAAACGTCTTGCCACAACCAGAGCGACCTGTAAACAAAATACTAGACAATGTCTTGACCTCAGAGGCTTTCCTATTTCCACTCTATAAGGAAATGTAGCACTGAAGATGGAGGGTAGTAGTTTGCCGTGACACTTGCAAGTGGTTTCCAAGTATATCTCTCATGATGTCTCCTGCTACCAGCACGAGTAAATGGCTTTTGTGAAAGTAAGAGATTCAATGTGACATAATTTCCTCTTTGCTCCCTCCTCTTGCAGTTGGGTTAAACTCGGAATATATATGATATTTTTAACATCATTTGGTTTTTCCACCAGCTACTTATCATCACCCTGCAGGGTATCTGCAACACCCTGCTCAGTTTCCACAGTCCCCTACAGAAAACGTTCTAGGAAGAAGTGCACAGCACCATAAAAGACTACAATCTGTGAGAGGCTCTGCTCTAGAAACTTTCTCTCTCTTTGCCTACAAAGCCTTCTTGGCGGATTTTTCGGACTTCGAAATACGCTGCTCATCGTCCGGGGTATCCGCTAAATCGTCAGTCACACGCTGAAACAGTCGCCCAACCGCATCCCGATCGATCGGCAAGTTTAATCAATTTCTGACGCCCAGCCAAAAGCTGCTCACCTTCCCGTAACTCCTCCTTTGCGCTAACCATTGTTCCCATGACAATGTCAATCAATCGTCACGTGCCATATACGTTTCCTTTGGCTAATGAGGTCTCGACATCACATCAAGGTTTTTAGGTCAATTCTGAGGTTCGGACTTCTGTTACAGAAATCTGCTGTGCAAAGCAAGTGCAGGTGCAAGAGATGAAAGGACCCATTGTCTTCCACACTATTCCATTTTATATCGGTGTTATCAACCACGGGAAGCCATGTTTTTATCTTACTATTCATAGCGTTATTATAAAGACAAGGAAGGGCTCGTGAAAGATAATTATCTTCAATTATGCTTTGTTATAATGTCACAGTCTGGAAAAAATTAAGAACTGCCATCAAAATAAATTAAATCAATGTTTCTCAGGAAAGCAAGTTAAATGTTTCTTGGGCATAAAAGTTCAGGACAGTGATCCGATCTTATGAGACTTTTGATAGACTATAAAGCTACAGCTGAACTGGTTGCGAACACCTCTAGTAAGCGACCACTTCTCCTCGGTGACCAGTTTTCCAAAGTACCAAAAGTTTCAAAGTCAAAGCACTATATTTGGAACCTCTTGTAAGCGATCACCTCTCATAAGCGACCACGACCGCTTTTAGAGCTAAAAGTTTGAAATTTTCTTTCGTTTTTAACCTCCCGTAAGCGACCACTTGACGGATAATAGAGCGTTAATTGGATGATAAGATGTTGCAATATTATCGCATTCCTGGAATTGGATGTACCGGATTTTTTTCTCGAAATTTACTTTTCACATGAATAAAACATTTAAAACATGGGGTTATTCTCTGCAGTCACCCTATGCTAATGAGGCAAAATTTTGGCCCAATATGGTCTAAGTAAGCGACCAGGCTTGACATTTTGGGTGGTCGTTTACGGGAGGTTTGACTGTATTCGCAGTAAATGCAGAAGTCAGTGGATTTTATTCACGTCCTTCACGCTTTCACCGCCCAAAGAAAGCTTTCATTTAAAAACAAACCACTTAGTCGAAGAACCTTTGTATTCTTGTATTTTTTTAATTGTGGGTTTAGTTAGATAGGCTTTTAGACTATTACAATGTGCTGTTAACATAGTGTGTTGTGGAATTATTACCTTTCACCTTCACCAATTGGTTCCAGACAGATGCCACGTACCTCCATGGAATGGCACGATGTCCTTTGACCCACAACTGCCAGGATTCTTTTCAATTTTAGTATTTATCATTCAAATCCACAGTGGTTTATATATAACAATTGCTTCAATTATTATAGAAATAGTAAAAAGGGGTTACAGGCAAATGATGCCTTCGAGCAGACTGCGTGCAGATCACCTCTTATTAGACCATGTGTAGCCAAGCATAATATTGAAAATGTATGAGTTTGTGTGGAATTTAGAACTTAGACTTTCGTAAATAAATAATGTCAAATCAATTGCCTTCTAACTCATGTATTATATGAAAGTGCAACTTTTGAGCCAAGAGTTTCCCTGGCTCCCCCACAGTCGGGGGAAGCCGGGCGGGAAGTTAAAAAAGTCAAAGTCACGAGCAGCCATTCTCTTCGAATCAGGATTTCTGATCAGATTTTGTGGGATTATGCAATTATTGCATAATCCCATATAGTCATCGGTCCTCTTGAAGTTTTGAGGACTATATAAAACCTGACAGTTAATGAAGGTAGTAAAAACTCGAGACGTAATCGGATCGTCGCATTTACAAAGCAGTAGACAAAATGTGATTTGAAGTGTAAACTGCCTTTGCTTCTAGTCAAATCCCTTCTAAACGGCTCAAAAGACCCAGGAACACAGGTAATGAACTACATTTATTTTACATGAATGTGAATGATATGTTATTGACGATACAGTGTACGGGTCCCCTGTGCTTTGGGCGAGCAAGAATTTCATGAACGCAAATCGAATGGGTGCTTTAAAATTGCCTGCAGGCCAAAACTTAAGCTTTGTCTTTTGTTTTTAAAGCGGTGATGCAGTGAATAAAATCCCAACTGAGGTGTTGCGGTGATCTCAAACCCTTCGGTGTGCGAATGTTTGGGTTTGTCAAACTACAGTTTTAGGTGAAACAGTTATTTGCGGTGCTGTGCTTAGTTGTTTGATCTTTCTCAGACATAATTTTAGCACGCAAACTTCGTTAATCAGTGCTAATTTATGACAAGCACGTACCTAACAAAATACAGACCAAACACTGTCTAGTTTATCTTCAATATGCTTCAGCTACCAATCCGAAAGTGTTTTCATTACATAACTTGACCAGTAACTTTACCTCTACCACGATACACCCGGAGCTCAGCCTTCGAGAGACACGTGGAAACCATGAGCGAGGACAGAGAGGTTAACGGTTCATCCGCACTGAGGACAAAATCTGACTCGACAAAAATTGTTTGCCCTGCCACATCCGCACTGTCTGTTTACAGCCTGTCACGTTACTTATTCTTTGCTTTCACTCAACTCATAGGTCAACGAGCATTTGCTCCTCTTCTTTGGTCCATTTCCCGTAGATTTCCCTTTCGTTGCCGCAGCCCGTGAACTGTTGCTGATCTCCTCCGTGTCATTCTGGCTATGATTTTTGAACATCATCTTATTATTGTTACGGCATCAGTACATTCTGCAGTGTACCACCGGGCAAATTGGCCTACCGGGCAAATTGGGCATCGGCCCACTGGAACTCCAATTGTTAGGATTTAAGTTGAAATAAACAGGATAATCCATGCGCGTAGCTCGTGCAGTTGAACATGATCCTTTAATGCCCCCGCAGGGTTTTGGCCCAGAGGCCAAAACCCGAGGAGGCATCCTAGGATTCCCCGCGTGTATACATACAAGGAATTTCCAAAAAAGGTAAGAAATGTATCGGTAGCCTGCGAAGAGTTCTCGTTTTGATGAAATTAGGCGCACACGGTGGTCTCGGGTAATGTGGGGCAAGGAACGCGGGCACACAAAACGGCTGGAGTGGTGTCGGGTACATGAAATTCTTGATTTCAAGGTTCTTGCAGTCACGAGTTCGCGTTTCCCCATCTTCTAGCAGTATTTCAAGTTTCTTGTAACCACGAGTTCGCGTTTCGCCATCTTCGAGCAGCATTTCAAGGTCTCCCAACCACGAATTCGCATTTCGCCATCTTCGAGCAGCATTTCACAGTGATTTCAAGGTCAAAAAATACTCTCCAATTACAATATGCAGCAATATGGCCTGCATGACGATTTTAGCGCGATCAAATGAATTCGCTTCGAAATGGCCGAGATTCTCGTCTAGGACAAATTGAAAACGATTTCAAAGATCCTGAAGATGGATTTAGGAAGAAAAACAATTCAGAAGGTATCGTAAGAAATTCTGAAGTATACTAGAAATTCGAGGCCAGTGTTAAATTACCCTTCCGATCGCTAGTTTTACCTTTAGCATCTCTTTTATTCCGATCGCTTATTTGCATTGAGTAATCCTACGTGGCGTATAGCTCATGTGACGGCTGGGTGACTTTGCAGGGATCCAAATGTAAATGCAATTGTTTTCGTTGAGGCAAAAAAGCTTGACTCTAATTTGCATATATGGTGACTGTAACGTTACGTCTCGGAAAAAAATAGGTCCGCAATGCGTACGCGTGTTTAATGCGTTTTCAGTCAACTGGAGCCATAATCAGAGATGGAGAAAGGGTGAGCCGTTCATGGAGTAGTGGAACAAATCATAAGATTTAAGCAGGGAATGTTATTGACAGAAGAAGACTTTGTTTACCGAGGGATGTCAAACTAACTTGTACATGAAGTGTCAAGATGGTTTCCTGGAATTATTAAGCCTGTAAGTCCTGAATTACACTGAAGTTCTGATATTAAGTTTTTACCATAACTGTAAAGGAAATATAGACATGTTGAACAACAATCAATTTGCATGGAGAATTTGCTAAGTTCTTTCATTGAAATGAAACTGTAAGCACAGTGAAAAGAAACCAATAATGCTAATACGCTGTACATTTTTTATACTTCTTACAATAGCTTGTAAGGTTACATGTTAATCAATGGGTAGTGGTTTGTAGAATATCTGCTGGACAGAAGAGTGTTCCCGATAACGGAATCAGAGTCTCCAAGTGGTTGTCAGAATACAGTAGTTACACAAAGAGTTCTGTGAATTAGCTCAACTCCTCACATAAAACATATTGATGAGATGTTGATACAAAGTAAAATACTTCAATGACAAAAAATAAATAACAATGGAGAACAGAGTGTTCCATTTCCCATTGCTCAGTGTGCCTGACTTTGGTTTACTAGGTTCTTGTGCTCACATCTGACATGGCATGGTGCAGATGTCTTGCGTTGTTGTTAGTGTAAAAATTATTCAGTACCAACTTTAACTCAAAGTGTAGGAGCATGTTTCCAAAGCAACTGTCCACAACTTTTCTGTACATTAGTTANAAAAAAAAATAGTTCAGAAACCACGTGAATGATCTATCACAAAAAAATCTGAATTTTGACATAGCGAATTTTTAATAATACAGAATTACGAAAATCGTCTAGGTCAAAATTTTATTAGAACAGTGTTGACAGAAGGGATTTAATGTCAATTCGTAGTGGGCAAATGCCGGTCCCGTTGCCATGGCAACTGCACACACCTTAGCCAAAATGCGAGAATAAACCCTTCTGTGGTTAACCTTGACTCTTGCAAAAAATAGGTCCGCAATGCGCACGCGTGTTTAATGCGTTTCAGTCAACTGGAGCCATAATCAGAGATGGACAAAGGGTGAGCCGCTCATGGAGCAGTGGAACAAATCATAAGATTTAAGCAGGAAATGTTATTGACAGAAGAAGACTTTGTCTACCGAGGGATGTCAAATTACCTTGCACATGAAGTGTCAAGATGGTTTCCTGGAATTACTAAGCCTGTAAGTCCTGAATTACACTGAAGTTCCGATATTAAGTTTTTACCGTGACTGTAAAAGAAATATAGACATGTTGAACAACAATCAATTTGCATGGAAAATTTACTAAGTTCTTTCATTAAAATGAAACTGTAAGCGCAATAAAAAGAAACCAATAATGCTAATACACTGTACATTTTTTATACTTCTTACAATAGCTTGTTGTAAGGTTACATGTTGATCAATGGGTAGTGGTCTGTAGAATATCTGCTGGACAGAGGAGTGTTCCTAATGACGGAATCAGAGTGTCCAAGTGGTTGTTAGAATACAGTAGTTCCACAAAGAGTTCTGTGAATTAGCTCAACTCCTCACATAAAACATATTGATAAGATGTTGATACAAAGTAAAATACTTCAATGACAAAAAATAAATAACAATGGAGAACAGAGTGTTCCATTTCCCATTGCTCAGTGTGCCTGACTTTGGTTTACTAGGTTCTTGTGCTCACATCTGACATGGCATGGTGCAGATGTCTTGCGTTGTTCTTGGTATCAAAATTGTTCAGTGCCGACTTTAACTCAAAGTGTAAGAGCATGTCTCCAAAGCAACTGTCCACAACTTTTCTGTACATTAGTTACTTCTTTATAGGTGCAGGTCAAGATGTTGGTATTTCGTCTGCTTTTGCATCTGTAGGCGTATGTTAGCACTGTTTATTTTGAATTTGCATTT